TCAGAAGCATCGTTCATAGTCAGAATTTTTGTTGATTATTAATAATGGTATTTCCCTTTTTAATTAGTAGGCACAGACAAATGAGCACAGTTTTCCTTTTTTTATTGAGACACTTAGCAAAAATGCTGAAATATCAAACATTTCCTCAGTAGCTACAATATTGCCACTATGTACAAAATATTTGATAAATGTACTACACATATAAAAATACAGTATGCATTACATATATACAGTACAATGTGCAAAACATATGGCATTCAAACATATGGAATTGATTTTAGGGGTGCAAACAGCAAATACAAAGGCATCATGGTTTCTTATAGAAAGGCAATACATAACGCCCTGATTGCCATAATTCGTATTTAGTAAAGTGGTGCTTAAATGAAGAGGGCCCGAGAGAGGTATCTCTCTTCTTCTTTTCACAAAATGAGATGCTAAGACATAATTACGACTATGGAAAGAAGAGGAGCAACACCTCCCAGGGTTAGCGTCATTGCTACTGCAAGCAGTACAGTGGAGAAAAGTCCCATCTGGAATAAAGCCTGTGCTATTACTTAATACAAACTTCTCAAACAACAAAAACAACCTGTACTGTTTAACATCAAAAACAGCTTTGAAAATATCTACATCCTTTAAAAAATTATGGATAATATTTTGGGGGATTCACTTTCCTATGCTTCAAAATACAAAGTGCCTCCTTTGGCAATATAAATGGCAATGCTTTGGTTCTTGTCTTTGTATTACTATACTTTAGGCTGTCTTTTTGACTATATGAACTGTATTCTTTATAAAAATAGTGTAATGATATACTAGGTAACTATTCCCTGCTTTTTAGTGATTTTGTTCTCAGCTATAATGACTTTTTGGCTAGATTTCTAAAAATGCATTCATGTGCTTTTAAAAAAGTGTTATGTTCAGTATCAGACACTACAGAAGGATGTAGGTGTCTCTTTTTTGCACTTTACTCCTAGCAAACTGGTATAAAAATATCTGAGATTATTTCAGGTTCAGGTTTTAATGGATATTCTTTATTGGCTGTGTATATGTTATATGCAACTCCATTACATATATCTCATACTTAAAAAAAAAAAAAAAAAAAAAAAGCTTGAAAACTTGTACGGTCTAAAAGTCATCTAAACACAATTTAATAGACCATAATGTAAAATGTTCCAACACAAGGTTTATTTGAGATAAGCGGAAGATTTTTTTTTCCAGTTTTAATAGACTTTGCTTAAATTTAAAACACGCTAAAGATGCCATTCTACTAATAATTGTATACATCAACGAGTCTCACTTATGTGTGTTGATTACATAATGCCCTTCCAGTTACATGTGTTTTGTGATTGCATTTCCTCTGCCTTGGAAGCAGTTCAACAGCTTGTGCTTGGTTTTCAGTTACGGTGACTACACTTTCCAGGCATCTAAATGTTTGAGATTATGTAGCATAAGGAAGTTTAATATCAAAACTTCTCTTTGGATAACCTCCTTCCTTGAGGGATGACTCCTGCTGATGAATTTAGAAATACCTTGAAACAAATCAGTATTAAGTAGTGATTATTTCTAAAAGCTGTTGCCTCAGCTTTTTAAAGGCCTAATTCTACAAGTCCACATGGTTGGATTAGACCTTGAATTTGTGTAGAGAATAACTGCCTTAAATAATTAATCATTGTCATAAATTTAGCAACTTTCTCAGAAAATAAAATTATAATGTTAAATAAAAATTTTGCCTGTAAACTTAACTAATGCTGAATGGCACTAAAAGTGCATAATAAATACAGTTTCTGTATTAAATGTAGGGTGCAACTCTTCATTAACATTAACCCTGTAAAATTTCATGTCTGAGCTTTCTCCATGTGTTGAGGTGTAAACACCAACTTTTGACTCTCATTCTGATAAAAATGGTATTTTTAATTACTTTATAAGCATTTACTAACAGCACTATGATAGGATATGTGTTCTGTTAGCATACTGCAGCCATTACATGGAAAATTTTGTGCCAGTGCATTCCTTTTCGACTGCTCTCATAATGAGAAATATTCAATTCTGCACAGTGAAACTGTACAGCCTTTGTTAAATTTCAAAGATGTGTTGTATTTGTGTTACAAAAATTATCATGTAAAACATGCACACACAAAAGCAAAATCTATTTCTGCCATAACAGGCATATATAACTATGGCAAAAATATCGCATTTCGGAACGAAGTCTAAAGCAAACCATTATATATAAGGCTTTAATACACATAATTCTGAAATGTACAAAAAATAATCACACATCTACACTAGAATAGCTGTACTTTAGAAACTAAAATGATCCCTTATTGTTTGTCTTTTTTTTATTATTATTTTGCAAATAGAATTAGGGTAGAAAGCTATACTGTACTGGTAACAACACATCTCAACTGTTTGGATTTATTTCTGAACATAGATTCCTATGGATTAGTTACATTCTATACACTGCCAATGAGGATAGTTTTGTAGCAAGATGACTCTGCCAGTTTTAAGCTATATTTACATGCACATCGAATATGACAGCACAGTTGCTCTAGGCTCGTTTGTCCTCAAGCAATTAGTTTATTTGCCTCTTTAATCAGAAGGCAGGGTCAAAAAGGGGCAATCTTGTTACTGTTTTCTTCAATGTGCTATCACATTGTATGCCACACATCACACCCAGATATGACTGGTTATTACATGCAATAAACTGACAGTACTGTAGAATACTAGATATTTCATCCAGAGTTCTTCCTATTAAAACAAGAAATTTATCTCTGAAAGACATTTTAATAACACTTGAGCACTTTGTATCGCAGAGCACTCGTGCCCAAGAAAATACGTTCAAAAGGAATGCTAAGTTGAATGTATTTGTTCAGCATTATTGAACAATCCTATAGCATCATAATTAGAGGCAGGCTGTCCGTATACTTTATCATATTCAAGTACTGCAGGCACAGCAAGAAGGGATTAGGAAGTCTGTCTTTCAACTTCATCCACTGTTGTGACAACTGTGATAGAGGGTTTCTTGTGTCTAATTTTAGATTAAAGCAAATCCCAGCCTATCAATCTACTGAAGAGATCTAATGATTTAGAATACTGCTAACTGGTATGATGCAAATGTGTAATGCCAGTTCAAGCCTGGAATCTATGACATAACCTGGTATTTTACCTGAAGTCAATGGATTGGGTGTGTGATATTACTAAATAGACTGTGCTAGTCTGGAGACACTAAACTTTCAAATAATTCCACAACTTGTTTTTCTGGCAAAAGTATTTAAAATATAGTTTGACATTGTATTTGTTTAAAGTGAAACTGGTTGCTAACAGCTATTTTGTTCTCACTGTATCTTTGATGCAGATCTTTATTCCAAGAATTAGACAACAGCTTTATAACATTTTTCCAGTATTTCCTACAACACGAGTCTTGAAGGCTGGTGGTAGGAAAGGAGTTTTGAAACGAGATCAGTTTTCAGATCAGAAAAAAATACCATATTTGCGTTGTGAAAGAGATAGGAAATTATTTCCTTTTATCTTTATTTAGATGTTCCCTAATGGGACTAATGCCTATTTTATGTCTGATTATCAGTGTACATTATTCATGGCAGTATCTGCCACTATCATCTGATAGGCAACTATAAAATTTCAATATTTCACTCATTTTATTTTTTTGTTATTTTTTCTGATTACTTTCATAATAGCCACTGAAAAGAACATTAAATATTACTTTTAAATGCTGTGCTGGGAGGTAAGAATTTGATTTTTGCTGTTATCTGTTTCAGATGTTAATAGGCTGCCTTATCACTGAACAGTGTATGCTAATATTGCTAATTTACCTTTTATTGTTTCCAGTAAGGGCTATTTAGGGTTCCTACTGAGCAACTTCTGTTTAGCTTCCCTAGTATTGAGTAGTGGTAGACAAAGCTGTTCAACAGCTACAGTACTCGTTAACAAATTATGCTTGCGCTGTCAGTACTGTCCCTTGCAACTCTGGGCCTGGTCCTACAAAGATCTTTTCTTGAGATCTTTGGGACTATTCTTGCATAGATGTTTGCAAGATCAGAATGCACAGCAGAGTTAATTGTATTTTTCTGCTTCCACAAAATATTTTAATATGCTGACATCCTGGATTCAATAGTCTAATAGTATCCTCAAGCACAAATTAATATAGGTATTTATTATTTCCAATATTGTAACTTCTCGATTTTTTAAAGACCACTGTTCCCCTCTGTTCACAAAAATAAGCTATACAAAGTTGAAAGAGTATACAAATAACTCTGATATACACATTAAACCCCAGCTATTGAATCCAGAGCACTGCTATAGAAAATTCAGTGTTCTCGATATTACCTGGCCTAGCTGCAGTGGATTTCTTGCAGTTACACTTAATATTCCATCAGATGTAGTTAAATTCTTCTCTCAGAATTAAAGAACGGGAGAAGAGTTTTAAAAAAAATGACAAAACCAAAATATAAAACAACTTGAACAAATTAAGAGAGTAGATACATGAAATTTCACTGAACCAGCCAGTGCTTCTACTTGCCTTTGCCCTCACAATATTTCGAACCTGGCTCAGGCTATCCACAGGAACAACGAAGTGCAGTGATATCTCACCTCCCCCCAACGACAGCTGCTCACTGTGCCAATACAGACAGTTGAAGTCTCACGTATTTTTCTTATCTAAGATTAGCCATGCTGTGTCATCTGTTTAAACATTGCTATGTCAGTAATACTATTTCTTTCTTATACATCTGTGATGCATTTTCCTTGGGGTACCTCTAATCAATAAGTACAATCATCCTTTGATTTGTGAAATACAGCTTTCAGAGGGTCCTGATCTGCATTAATAATAGGAGCATAAAAAGCATAAGGTAATTCATTGTAAACTTGGAATTGATAGGAATTAGCTTCAAGCATTTGTTCTTCCAAACATTCCTGTTAATTTTTCTCAACTGCAACCAGATTTGTTTAAGAATGGACCTATGCTGTAAACAGATTTGCAGGTTGGGTTTTCATTTGCTATAGCTTAATCCCAGTGCAACTGCAGGTCTTGTGGATCTAGAAAGTCAGTGGAAAACACACTGGGGGCAGCAGAACTGAGAGGAGTGAGTCCAGATGAAGAGCTGGGCATCGTAATGTCTAACCATTCCATGTTGTCTAAATTTGTGTCAGGAAGGTCGAGAGACAGACAAGAATTATTAGTGGTAAACTGCGGGTCAGAGGTTTCCATGGGTGAATGAGAGTGATCTAAAATGCTGGAGTGATTAAGCAGGTCATTCTGAAGGTCCTCAATTAAAGAAAACGACTCTCTGTCCTCATTACTGCTTGTCAGTTGAGGGGTTTCATTACCTGAAGGTAAAGTTCCATCCAAGAGAGCATCAAGTTGGTTTTCCAAACTTATTAACAAGTTGGTTGTTGATTCTAAGGACATGGGAGGCGCCATTTGGATTTGTGGTGGTGGGCGGGATATCACTGTATTCACTGGCATGGTAGTGATGTTGGCTGTTACTGGTCTCATTTTAGCAATCGGAGATGGTTCCTCCTTTATTAGAAGGGAAATCTCTGTATTAAAAAAAAAAAGAATTAATATATGACATATGCCCTCAGGTTTAAGACCCCTAACCCTTTCTTGTGTGCCTCAGTTTACTGTGGATAAGATGCATCCACAGTAAACTCAATGGAATACAGATCATTTTGCTGATCTGACAATACAAACAGTACATACATCAGATCAACTGCATCATCAACAACGCTGCCATCTACATTCCCCAATTTTGTTTCCAGCAATACTCTAATTAGAGTATTTGTATCAGTGAAAAAGGGAACCTTTTCCTAAATGTTAGCCTTACCTTCTTCATGTCTGTAGTTTCTGACTTACTACAGAACCAACACCCCTCACCATTTGAGGAATTTTCAATTCCACTCTCCATTTAGTACTATCCCCAAATTAATAAATTAAAGTCTGAGAGAATTTATTTAATTAGTATGTTTTTATTACTGACTCATGAGTCTAAAACTACTCTTTAGTCAAGAAGGTTCATCTAAGCTAATGGTAGAAACAGTAAAAGAAAATAAAGATAAGATCCAGTTAATTCTTATATGTAAACAGGGTCCAAAAATTAGAAAAGGTCTGCAACATTTTGACAGACAACAAGATGCATGTAAATCCTCCCGCACAGGTGGTGTTTCTGCTGGCAGAAATCTACAGCACTCTGCCAAGCAAAATAATACATTTAAAAAATTTCTATAACAGCATCTATTTCAAATGTTGCCTAATAAACACAAAGCATTTGAACAAGAAGTGACTCACTTTCCTAATGCACATTAATAACATTTTTTTTTATTGTAGTATTCAGAGCCCTTGCATTTATCTATTTCCTTTCTAAAAATGACGGAAGAAAGTTTTTGCATCTTGTGGCATCTTGGCAAATATGAAGCTGCTGTTATCTTTAAGATCAAATGGGTTTAATAATGAAAGGTTTAAAGAAAACTTTTTAAATAAGCACACTAATGTTTTGTACATCCTTTGTTTCACAGCCTTTAGGTATGCCTGAACACCTCCTACTGCAAAGCCACTTTTTCAAATATTTTATGTACTCAGGTTCCTTTCTGATAGCACCTTCATTTTAACTGACAAACCTTTGTAATTCATTAGTTCTCAGTACCTCTTTCCAGTAATTGACAGTTACAGCTGATAATATATTCCTACATTTATATGATGAAAAAAATACGCCTGCGCTAAACTAAAGTTCTATTTTAATCACGTGCTGTTTGAATTCCTGCAGAAATGTGCCCAGATTAGTTTACTAGCTGAGGACTTCCAAAGCAGGGGGACTGTATTTCTTTTGGAATACATGTTGGCATATGTTTTTTTTTCAGGAAATAATTAACTAGCTTTCAGAAATACTGCTGTCATCCAAACTGGATAGCTTCCACATCCTCTTCTGTCCCTTCACTCCTTTGATTACTGTATATAGTTTTCATTACCACAGACTTCAAGTGACTTGCTTACCTCCACTCTTGATGAGGATGTCAAAAAGGTCGTCCATTTGCTGACTGTGTGCGCTGGAAATCTGTGGTATATGGGGAAAAGTGGAGGAGCTGGTTATTCTTTTTCATATAATATTTTTTCTAAGCTTATTAATCCTAATTTCTGCAATGCTAAGTATGCATGAATAGTAACTTATAATCAAAAGTTATTTTTTTTTAATGTGAATTTGTCAACCTAGAAAACAGAGGAAGAGTCTGAAGAGGCACTTGTAATCCTTGTGCTTGCTTTCCGTACAAAGTAACAGGAAGAAGTACCAAAAGCAAGACAAAGATTTTGTGAAGGAAACCTCGGAGAGATGCAGAAAACTAGGGCTAAGAGGAAAACTGCCAACGTTATCATCATTTATTTATTTATTAAGCAGGTAGATCTGGGACAACAGCAGGACTACAGGAGTTAACCCTGAACTGCTTTCTATCAGGGACAGGCTGTAAGTATCCACTTAGGTAAGATGAATTGTTTAGGTTGTTTCTTTATAGTGTGTAGTTCTATATTCTTTCATATTCTTTTACTCTTTAAGTGGGGAGTGGGGGAAGAAAAAGTGTTTATTAACTCTTCATCTGTACAGTTCAGACATATTAAGAGTTGAGCTTAAGAAAAATCCATCCTTTCCAAAACAGTCTGGGAAAGTTGTAGAGACTTTTTCTGTAGTCTTGTGCAAAAATACATACAATCTGAACAACTTCAACATATCTTTCTCTGCAACTCTGAAATTTAAGTATCATAAAGCCTTAAAGATAAGGCTTGTTCATGTTAAAGTAGCAATGTCATGGTTGTCCCAATATTATATATTACCAACTGGATAATGCAAGATAAATTTCCATGTATTTGACTATATTTTAAATCAACAGAAGATAAAAGAGGAGGCTCTAAGCTAAACACAGTTAAGAAAACATTAACAGAGTAAGTTATAAACCTTGAGACAAACAAGAAGCTACATTGAAAAAGAGCTTTGGTAATTCTGAAAAAAAAAATGAAGTTGTTCTTAACAGGCTAAATAGCAGAAAGTAATTACCTCACGGTGAGATGTTTGAACATTGCGGGTCTGTTTTATGGCCTCTTCATAGCGGGGGGGATCTTTTGTCTTGGAAACTGTGTTGTTGAAGAGGGGCTGTTGAACAACATAGGGCTGGGCTTGAGACGGAGAGCCAGGCTGCGCGAAACAACAAAGTATTAACCAAACTGAGACTCCAGTCTACTGAGCTCTACACGTTATCCTGTTTGTCCTACCAGTCTACCTATGCACAAATATATTTTTGATTATTTATACTATTGTTAGTTTCTTCTTTCTCATACATGCATTACTGAAATCTACAGAGCATTCCTCTCCTTTGAGTGAACTGCAGTATGCACATAGTAACTCTATTTAAGAAAAATAATACAAAACTGAATTTTATGGAGTACTGTTAGGCTAATCCTACCTTGCTAGGAGGAGCAGGTCCATTCTGCACAGGTGGAGCCTGGTTACTACCAGTGCAAACATTAGAGTTTGGTGCTTTATTAATAAAAGATTGAGCAGGTGTCGTAACTGGTGTAGTTTGATAGGGAAATACAGTATTTGATGTCGTAGATGGAAAAACCTGTAGTGGATTAATATTAATATTAGTCAATATTTTTATCTAGCCTTAATAATTTTAATTAAATGTCATTAATGAAGTTTAAGACTTTTTTTCCTAAAATACAATACAAACTACATTTGTTTCCCAAATCCCTCTAAGGAAAGGTTAGGTCCTGTTTTTTTCCCTACCTGTAGATAAATCTGAATTCTAGAACTACAACCCTGAAAGAACCTTTATGCTGTGACATACTTTCACCCATCAGTGCTACGTTAAAATGTATTCCTCCAGTTTTCTAGGAATCAAGAGAGAATATAATCCAATGAAACACTAATAGTATATGCATCATTTCCCGGCCTAGTAGGCAGTGAATGCAACAGACTGATTGCTGGGCCCATACAATAGGATTGCACACGCAGTCACACTTGTCCTATGCTGCCTAATCCTAATATCTTCTAACTCTGGAGAGCTGTGAGTGCTGAGACTGCTGTGAGAGGGTTTAGTAGAGTTTGTTAGAGACCTGGATCACAGAGGCAACTGCTGTAAAATGCAACAGTTACAAACTGTTGTAATTTGTAGCTCTCAACTGCTGAGCTGGATGGCCCTGGAGAGACCTTAGTTAAGACATTAGAGGATTTCAGCACTGTTCTCAACTGGAGGGCCATGGACGCTGCTACCTTCAAGGGCATCTTTACCGAGCCATTTTGCTATGCAGTCTCTGCAAGGGAGAAGTAAGGGGTTCTCCAGGGTCAAGGCCTACAATGGAAACAATGAGCCTGAGACAAGACCCTCCATCCCCCAAAAAACCCCACTAAATAAACGGGTCAATCTACTTACCCCCTTGCTATGAATGAGGGCATTTTTAACTGCTGCTGAACAGGTTTAAGTATCTAAGGTCTCATGTGGAGCAGGTATTTGGCCTCCTCCCTGACAAACAAGGAAGGCCAGGCACTAGGACTGCCTTGGCCTGGGTATCCTGTGGTTTTGTTGAAAGAAGTCAAATCATGCAAAGAGGACAACATTTTTCCTAACAAGAGTTAGGAATATGCGACTTGCTCAACCTACCTCCTGAACTATCTAAAGGCTCATGAAAACAAACAGCAGACAGGCGAATGCAGAATGCAAGTGACTGTACATTACAACAGCATTTTACATTCTAATGTAACAATAGTGCAGTCACGCTGTCTGGTTTCCTGTGTAAAAGATGGCACTAGGGGTGTGAGAAGAACAGCCCGGAAAGGCAGGCAGCTACTTGGCTCCACGTTCCAGGAGATGCAGACGGAAGTCTGCAGGGAGCTACCTGGCATGGTCTCCACGACAACTGATCCAAACAAGAGGGAAGACTAGAGATGACCATCCTTGAGTAACCGTTGCAGTCATTTCAAAGAAGTTCTTGACAGCAAAGAAAGCAAACTGCACGTTTCTATTAGGAGTACATCTTCCGGATGACTGGAAAATTTCTAAATGGGATTTGTCACGTTAACGAGGTAAGATTAGCTCATCAAGTTCAAGACCATCTGGGTGAACTCCACTTTTGGATACACGCCAGTTAGATTTTTGTAGGATGACCTAAATGCCCAAGAAATTGAACAGAGAGAGGATGCTTATTTAGTTGTGTTCCCCTTTATTAGCTGATATGTGGAGAATGATGGGGGACACAGATTTTGTTATTGACCTTCAAGTTACTAATAATAGTGGTCAGCCTAGATAAGGCTCAAAAAAAGGAAAGCCCCTTCCTCTGTGACCACTGGTGCTGATGTGTTGGTATCAGCCACTATATGAACATCACTGGGTCAACACTTCTAGCTGTATGTTTTGGGCTACGAAATTTCAGAGCTGATCATTTATGGTAGAAAGGAAAAGGAAGATTTATCTCTAAATCATTCCCTGCACTCCTCAGAAAGAGGAGCATCCCAGGTATTTTAACTCACTGGATACTGCTGTCCTCAGCATCCGAATCCAAGCTTGAACGCTTGGCTTTCTTTATAAACAAGGATCAGATCAACACAGACAGTAGGAAAACTAAAAGAAACTTTTACAAAAGAAAAGGTAAAGCCGTGCAGAACTTCGTATAAGGATCTTCCATTTCATGCTGGTGGCAGATATGAGCAATTGACTGGAATGTCTGGAGTACCACTTGTGCCAAGCTTGGGAAAGAATGTGTTAAGTGTGAGCTATAAGAGTACCATTAAGATTAGAAAAAAAGGTCTTCAGCGTTCTGTACTTACAGATCAAAAGGAAAGTTCCTGAATGGGCTACAATTCTGAAAAGAGAAGGTTTTACCAGTCTGCTTTATCATACAGAAAACCGTGGTACAGAGATGCTAAGCGACTTGGTCATTTGTATTTGACACAAACCAGAAAAGATTCTAAAAGCACAACCTAGGATTAGACTATAAAGCAGTATTAATCTTATTGCTATTCACAAACCTTCCTGCTTTGTTGAGTCTGACCAAGTGCATGCTGCGTGGTGGCATTTGGTTTTGACTGCGGAGTATGAATCTGAGGTGCTGTCTGGCCCAGGCCAGAGGAGGGAACAGAAGCAGGCATTTGTGATGGGGTCTGTACTCCAGCTTGTGATTGAGCCTGAAGGATGAAGATAAAATATTTGTGTTATTTGTATCACAGCAAGATAAGTAGTATAAAAATCTGTTGTATAGATTAAGCAGAATAGCAATAGCATGTATGCTGGGAGGTGTTAGGATGAACTGTGTGCTGGAAACAAGAATATTTTAACTCCACTTGGTGCTGAGTTCCCAGCTGAAAGGTGATGTTTATACTGGCAACAGAGCCTAAGAAAGATGAAGACAAACTGGCGAGTCCAGTCAACAACACTGAAAAGAGACAGGCAGAGCATAACCAGTAAGAAAGGACTAAAGAATTGGGTTTGATTAAACTGAGAAAACTAATGATGCAATAGGATAGGCTTTCTTCCCGAATGTGTTTTAAAAAGATAATAGTCCATAGTTTTTAATGGCTGCTGGCAGGAAAGACGTATGTCTAACCTCAAGAAAGATGGCTTGAGGTGAAAGAGCTTTTTGTGATAGCGGCCAAGTAAAAAAGCAGAGTGGGATGTTTCTGGTTTCCTGCCAGAATTCCAGCAGGTTTCGGAACAAGTGAGCTGAACACCTGCCTACACGGTGCTACGGGGCAGCTCTCATGCTGGGGACCTCGAGGCCACCCCACCAGAACTGTACCCCCTCATGAACCACCCCAGCTGTGACAGTGCACACACTAGCTCCAAGCCTCTACCCACACGTGTGCAGAAAGCAAGGAGCAGAAGAGAGAATAAAACGGCTGTATTTTCTTTTCTTTTGCCTAAAGCAGAAACAAGCATGATTTTCAGCAGTTATTTTTCAAGCAGCACATTTATCTTCCTGTCTTTAATTATGCAAATATTGTGCTATTGTTACATGATGGTAAATGAACAAACATACCTGCAACTTTATATTTCCAACTGGTAGCTGCACTGAAGTGGTAGAATTCGGTCCCTGGATAGACAGCGGAAGGAGCAGCTGCGTGGCTCCCTGGGTGGCTAGTAAAGCTGGAGGCTGGGCAACAACTGCAGTTTGTGGATGTCTCTGTGGATTAACATAAAACTGAGAAATGGCATTCTGCATTTCGGCTTTGGCCACGGGTATCTCCTGCTTGATAACAACTGCCTTTTTGGCAACTGGATTCTGGCCACTAGTATATACTGATTGTCCTAAAGATTGACTAGCCACGGATACAGACTGACTTGTGCTAGAGCAGTCAGCAACAGCTTTTTCATCCTTGATAGCAGCACTGAATTGTTTCTGATCCAAAGCAGCTGGGTTACTAGAAGTCTGAGACAATTGCTGCTGTCCCCGTTTTTCAACCTCAAGTTGCATTTTCAATACTTCCACAAGTTTTTGCTCTTGTTCCAGTTTTCTCTTGAGCTCTTCAATCTGTTTCTCTTTTTCTTGAAGCTTGCGGTCCTTTTCTGCTACATCAAGCTCCATACTTGAGATGCTTCCACTGCTACGGTTCTGCGTGTCATCGTTCATATTCACCCTTAGCGGTGAAGTACTTAAGAACTGGGATGGTGACATCATGGTCATCATTTCTGTGAAAGTATCTGCCATGCTAGTGTCATCTGTGCTTAGGTTAGATTGCTCTGAAGGAGCGGGTGATATAGGCAAAGGGGAACTAATGCTTTCAGTATTCACTGCTTTGGTGCTAGGTCCAGTAGATGTTTTTTCTGGAGGAAAGCTGGGCATAGTATTAACCGCTGTTTTAGTTAGTGTTGTGACAGGAAACGCCACAGTCACTTCCCCAGTGCTACATGTGGCCCCAGTAGAAGTGGTTACTGTAACAGAGCTACTAGTAGTGACTCCGTTGTTATTAAGATCTTGGTAGGGTTTCAGACGCTCAATGAGATCAGTTTTTGTTCCGGACACTGGTAATCCCCTTAATTTCAACTCCATTTTAAGCTCCGCTACCTGAGATTAAAAAAAAAAAAAAAAAAAAAAAAAAGCATGTTAGTAAACACACACACACACACAGAAATACCTTTTTTTTTTTTTAATAAACATATGCTGCTTAAAGACATTTGAGCACGAAAAAATATTTATCATCGTATTCATAAACATTACACCTCTGGGTTCTGAGTACAAGCAATCTTCATGCGCACATTTTCCTGACCTGCTGTTTATTTTCACTGGGTGAACAGCCAAAAACTTAGCAGTGTTCAGTGGTTGCACAACAGCAGTAGTGGTTTTATGCTGACTACTCAAATAGGCAAAGTATTTCCAGTTCTGGACTGAAAACTCTGAAAACTTCTCAAACAACCCTGCAGAAGACAGTAGCAGTGAGATTAAAAACACTGAATAAATGCCATTTAGCATGATGAACCGGTTTGTTCGGCTACCATAGGTCCTTCATGCGTAGATCTCTCTGATCAGAAATTTATCAGGTCAGTTGAATGATTTGATAAACCTGTCAAATTGTCACTGGGTAGGGATTGAACAGTGAAAGCTGTGTGTCATCTGGGTTACTTTCACAAACATTAGAAGTTTAAGTACTCAAATAATCTGATTTCTGAAAGAAAAATTTTACTGATTTTCCAATGAACTTGCAGACAAAGTGAAAAAGTGATGAGTATAGAATTAATTCTATGCTTCAAAATACCAATAAAAAAAAAAAGTCAAAATGAACAGCTTCCACCTATGGCATTCCTACATCGTCTCTAATTGTATGGTGCTGAGACCACATTTATGGTACAAACACTTCTCCATCTAAAAGGTGGAGTGACCTCAATCCTTTTGCCCATATAGAATCTTAAAGTATTTGGAAATGAGATTTAGAGAAATCCAAATGGGTAAAACATTTCTAAGATCCACAGCAATTTCATGTTTAATAACCACCTTACAATGATGATCATAGATTCTACTATCTAATGAGTATCTGTAAATAGTGACTTCCAGGCAATTAGCTTCCTGTTTGCTGGAGATGCTGCTCATTTCAGTCCTGTAGTTCAACCAGATTACGCTTCTAATTTGGAACAAATTCCCTTGTTTCTCATTAGGTTCTTGTTGTCCCATTTTCCTCATTCTGCTGAGGGACTATCTGATTAGCAACCCTGCCAACCAGCATGTTGACTTGGGTCCTCCAGAGCATTGCACAGATTGCCACGCTCAACTTCTCCATTTTTCAATAATCCATTCCTAAATTCTTATCTGAACTCATTTGGGGGAGTTGGTGTTAAAAACGCTACCAACTGGTCGTCAAGTACTGCTTATGTTACTGCTACCACATTAGTGAGAATACCAGTCAGTTATGCCAAAATGGATAAGCAAGTGTCTTTCATCGTTGTAAATTCAAGTATTTAGGGTTTCAAACACTGAACTTTAAATTACGTACTTGTTCTATATAAAAAAATCAGTGTTCAGCTTTAACTGACTACACTGCATTACTGTCTTGAGAATCTAATCTTCTGAAAACTCTTATTCCTGCCACATTTATACTAAAAAAAGGCAAACAGAAAACAATAACAAAAGAACAACTAACCAACCAATCAACAATCCCAACCACCCTTGAAAAAGGCAGGGAGGTAGGAATTAGCTGGTCACTAGATGTCTCTACTCCTCCACTCTAGTTTACCATATGGCTCAGCTGCTGGGGGAAATATCTGAATCTAAACCCCGTAAGTTGCTTCAGGTTCATTTATAGTAGACTTCTGGCAGGATTAATTCCTGATAACTTCTTTCTAAGGGAAGAAAGGATCATATGCAATACTTTTAAAGCTTAAACAGTGTTTACATGGTTATTGATATTTTAAGAAATTTCTATAAAAGTCGGTGTTGATTTTCAAATAATGCGCAGAACCGATAACCGATGGACAAAGTCTTCTGATTTTTACCTTCAGGTCATCCAGGCTCGAGGGCAGTGGTCCTGGTTTCCTGCTGGGAGTGTTGCTGTTCTGTCTGGGGGAGCTGGCGACTGATGCTGGAGTGCTGTTGTTCAGGGTACTCAGTGGTGTATTCCCATTGCTGCTCTGCTTGTCGTTCAGTGGCCTTTGAGTGAAGAAAGATAAAAACGTCAGTACTAAATATATTATGCTTTAATTCAAGCAGCTGCAATTCTGAATCTAGTGTCTATTACAAATCAATGATTTTTTGGGAAATACATAATATTTAACATAAAACAGCATTAAATATTTTCAGTTTAACAGGATAGAGGAAAAGAACATGAGGAGAATGCTATGTTGATATTTTATTTACTCTTCTGTTACACCTTTCTGTTTCACTGGTTAAAAAAAACCACAATATTGAACTCTCTGCATCTACCCTATACATATGCCCACTGTGCTAGTCCATTTGAGTAAGGACTAATCTGAAGACAGTTTACTCTGGAGATACTAAGTATTTCATATAAGGATCTCAAAATAATCACAAAAGATTAAAAACAAACAAAAAATAGCCACCATTGACAGTAGGTACCATAAAACAGCTCTCTTCTTTGTTCACTTGATTTAGGCAAAAACATTTCTGAAATGTCAGTAAATGGAACATAAGAAGCGTGGGTAAGCATGCAGAAGCATCTCCAGTCCAAATGTTAGCATACATGGTAATTATAAATATAAGCACAGATGGTGTCTTTTACTTTTCTAGCATCCTTTGCCGAAGAAGAATAACTTAGTTTAGAAAACTCAGTTTAAAAATCCTGTTAAAAAGCTGCTGAATTTGGGATTGTCTAACTATGGCATGCAACACCGAGTACTTCTAGAAAAAGGAGGATGGTTTCAGGTGTTGAGCATGAAACTCTGCAGACAAGAGTCAACTTCTCAGTCTACTACAGGCTGCTGTTAATTCTTCAAAGGTTTACTTCTCTGAACGCTTGTATCTACACATCTGAAAGTACAGTTCTCTTTTAAAAGCACTAAGGAGCAGTACTGATAAGGTGCTCATATGTTAGAGATGTAGGACAATAAAAATAATATACAAATTTTACCTAGTTTAAAATGACAGTTTCTTCCCCTTTGAAATATGAAAAAATGCAGTCTGTGAAACTAATATAAAAACAAAACAAACCAAAAACCCACCAAAACAGTATGTCTTTTCGTGAAAGTGAGCGTCTTTAGGTTCCTATTCTGCTCTGCCTGTCTGTATCATATTTCTGTGAAAACAGTGTCAAAACTTTACAGCTCTTGCATGAATCTTTGTTTTAAACATACATCTAGTTGAAAAAAAATGCATCTGGCAGGTGGGAGGTTCAACTGTCACGTCCAATTAAAAATAACTAGCTCCAGTTATAATCTTGTATCAGGCTTTAGGAGTCTTTCAAAAAGCGCAGAACCTCACCCCCTCCTGTAGTTAAATGATGTAAATAATACCACAGTGATGCACATTGCCATTTACATTTTCATGGATTCCAGCTCTCATGGTATGGGAGAAACACATGTATTTCTAAAGCACAGAGCTTGTGCACCTAACAGATACTATTCTTAAAGGACACTTTCCAAGAAAGCTTAAGCAAAGCCTTACATACTTCAGTGGTGCAGGCAGAATTGTCTGATAGTTGTAGTGTTGTTGCTGTTGGCTCAGGATCTGTAGCTGCAAGAACAGCTGCTGTTGCTGTAGCAAACGAGCATAGTTGGAGTCCATCTGTGGTTCATTCTTCTCACCTTTCTGATCAGGTGGAATATATTGATGATACTTCAGTTTTTTCACCCGTGGCTTGGGCTCTTTGCATTTCTTGCTCCGATGTTTATCATTTGGATTCTTCGGGTGGCTTTGCTATTTATGGATGGAAAAGGTTGGAAAAAAAATGTAACAGACATCTCATTTACATGCAGTTAAACAGTATAAAAGATGAAATGTATAGGAGTATATTGTGAAGAAAAGATATAACATAATGTCGCTGAATATAGCTGTGCCTGCAACACTGCTCGAAAAAATGGCCTGCAAAATCCTTGGGAAGTTAACACATTCCACCTACTCTCTGCACAAGAACAGGTGATCAGAAATCACAGTTGTGAGTATTTTGTTAATAGATGGCAAAAGTGAAACTAAGGGATTCTGCGGGTCACTGCCTGTCACTGCAAAGAGACATTCTTTTTTAACAAGTAAGTTCAAAGCCCCTTAGCACTTTGTACATGTAAAGGCTAGCACTTTAAACTCTGTCTGTCAACATTTGCCAGTCAGAAGTACTTACTGGTCTGGATGAAGGTCATGACTTGTCCTGCAAATTACAGAAGTACTCTTATCAAACTATCAGCACCATCTTTACACATACACATACAATAAGATTCTCCTCCTTGAGGTAATTTTAAGTGAAAAAAAAAAGAAAAAAAAAAGAAAGCAGCTGTGTAGAGGGTATTAAAGGTATCAAAGTGTGTGTTGGTAAATGTACATTTCTCACACAGCCTGTTTTGGTGGGTATCTCAACTTGCCATTGCCTTTTCCAGCCAGCTGGTACAGTTCCAGGGATTTCAGTGCGTACGGACACGTGTATCAGAAACGGCCTGCAGGTGCTGGCCAACAAGAGCTATGAGAGGGCTTCAAATACAAGGAGCCCGTACAGCCCGTACTTAACTTCCCTCACCGTAGGCAGGTGTGTGTGTGTGTGTTTTCCCATTATAGAGTAAATGAACCCAGAAACAGCTGTAAAAGAGAAGCAATGCTGTTTAACTGCTGGTTAGAGGTGGATTATGAACAGACTTATCTCTGCTATTAAGTTATTCCCTACACAGAACTAGATTAGAAAAACTGAGTTTTATCAATAGAAAATACCAACTCAGTACTACAAATACCCTTATTTCTCTGTGCATTTTTTAAACTTCAGTACTAATGTAATGCATATTTCAGGTTAAAAACATGTCAAATATACTATATGCAGCTCTTAAAATAATGAGTGGTTCTTATTACTGCTGATCTTGAAGAGCATGGCAGAGCTTTCAGTCACCCACTCAGTACGTTTATGTGAACACTAATAAAAGTATTTACTTGGCTATAAACACTGTAATGCTGTTCATGTATTTTTTCATTAAACAGAGCATTGAAAAGGATTTAGAACAGTCTTGAGTTGCTGTTATGGCACCTACCTTTACTAACGTTGGCCCGGGTTTTGCCGCAGAGATGGTATTTGTAGTTAGGGTGCTTGCAGTCGTGGACCGTGGAACGTGCTGCTCGATCGTAGGTGGAGTTTTGAGGAATTCGGGAACTGGAGAGGTTAAAGATGGGTACTAGTATTAAAAAAAAAAGGGGAAAAAGAAATATTAAGAACATCCAGCACCTGAGGATTCACAAAATCATGTGGAAAAATACAACAACTTACAGTCATTTTACATTCACAAAAAAAAAAAATCATTAAAAAAAAGGTTCAGAAACCTCTATGATTAAAAAATTCTCTGTAACTGTCAGCTGTCCAAGTACCTTTGCTCCTGATGTAAGGGAAAGCAAACACCTTCTCGTCAAGCCAATTAAGCCGACTTAGAGGAATGGGCTAGGCCAAAGTTGCTTCTCTCAGCAGCAGTAACTGGAACTCTGCTAGTCTCCACCTTCTCGTTTTCGCTCATGATCACGACTGAGACCAGTTGCATTTCCACTGCTTAAGAAAGCAATTAAGTTATCTAAACAACATTCCCTCACCCTCTCCTCCTTCAATATCCTTTCTCTTCAGAATGTTTCAAAACCTTGGATTGTAATTGGGACATTTACTTGTACTTAAGCAATGTTTTCAGGTTTTTAATTATTATTTAACTGTTAATAATTTTAATAATTTAATTGCAATTAATTAGACTGATGCGCTCCGCTGTTCCTCAGTAAGGTGGTGCCGCTCGGGGTCAGGTTGTCCGGAACCCCTTGTGTGCATCCCGCAGTCTCCTGTGCTGCCGCTTTTCTGTTTCCGGGTGGGAGTTTCCAAGCGGCAGGCGCTTGGCCCCACCACTCGCTCACACTGCAGTTATGGTGATTTCCACTTTGCTGTTTTCGTTGACCGTTTTGCTGTTTCTCCTGCAGTCAACGACTGACAAAGTGATGTACCCCATTTGCCTCGGCCTGATCTGAACTGTGCTTTTGTTGCTGCTTTTCCTTTACGGTGTTTCCTACCAGAAGAATCTTTTCTGAGGTCTACCTCTGTCCAGCTCCGGCAATTTTCGCTTTATCCCTGGGACACAACTTGCTTTGTGGATCAGACTTTTCCCCTCCTTTCTTAAAGGCAGGGAGGATCTGTAATATGTCTGGGATTTAGGTTTTTTTTTTAAATTATTTTGTTGAAACAGAGTCAGTTGCATATACAGTAAAAACTATTTATATATTAGCAAGTAACTACCTATATAGCTCAGCTATCCAGGGGAAAAGCAGGTGATACTGCACTCAATGGCAAGACCTAGTGTGCCATGCCTAGGCGGTGCTGGGTATGTTGTACACATGCCCGTCCTGTGTCCGCTTTGAGGGGTGCCAGCACCTTTCCAAGTGCTCCCTCTGCAAAGCCTGGGATACCCCCACTCCACTGTGATTTGCGTAACAGCTGGCGGGGCTGTTCCGAGGGACAGCTGCTTTAAAAGGGGCTGCGTTCCAACCCAGTCCACCCTGCTGCTATCAAGTTATGAAGGCTTATTCTAGTCATAGCAGTAACAGAATTAAAAACTAAATGGTCTTTGAATCAAAATGTCATTTCATAGAATCATAGAATGCTTAAGGTTGGAAGGGACCTCTAG